GTGGTATGCTTGGGTTTAGTTTTAATTTTATTAATTATAGGATCCCAAGCAGGTGGTAGTACCCAGCCTCCTTCTCTATTGAAATTAGGATGTTTTTTAATTTCAATAGCCTCACGTATCATCCTTGGTAGGAATCGATGTTCTTTCGCGAGGATTTGTGGTCTATCAAATCTGATGTAATGGTTGGGGCCATCTAGAATATGATCGCAAACTGCAGACTTCCCGGAACGTTGATGCTTCACGTCAGCTATGTGTTCTTTTACGCGGGTTCTAATTGATCTCTTTGTTTGCCCTATATATGAGAGACCACAATCACAATCAAGCTTGTACACTCCTGCATCTTGTAGAGGAATATGACACTTGACGGATGGTAAGAACTGACTAATTTTCTTCGGCGGCTTGTAGAATGCTCTAATAGCAGCTCGCTTCAAGATGTAGCCAATCTTGTCTGTGACATCTCTGACATATGGTAGTATAGCAGGCACACGCTCAACTGTGGCCGGCTTCACTCGGTCACTGTGACGGAGGCGCGGGACCCGAAGCTTGTTGTCGTGCAGAACCTGGTTGACATGCTGAAGCTCGGCGGCCAGGTGTTTGCTGTCACAGATCCCTCGTGCTCTCTGAAACAAAGATTTGCCCACGGTAGCTAACTGTGAAGGATGATGGTGAGATTCACCATTTAAGTATCGGTTTGTATGGGTCTTTTTTCTATACACAGTATGACCTATGTGTACCCAAGGTACCTTGCGATTGTAGGTAATTATTTCACGTAGGTAGCAAGTGTGACAGAGGGTTGGTAACAGTTAGTTAGTTCATATCTGCGGAATGTGAATGCGATGCGACTGAAGAAATCGCGCGTGCGGATTCATCGGACGATGAAATCGCATCACATCATCGCGCGAGCGATGGCAATAGGACAGCGCCTAATAATAACTGAATATGCGAGGATGGTCAACTGAACGTCAATAACAGTTTTACACGTTTTTGGTGTTATTTTAATTATTTATAAGTTTTCTTGTAATATTCTGATTAGATCCCTAACTTAATAACACTTAATAACACTTATCTGCATTTTCATATTGTATCTCATTTAGCGATAATTTCATACTATCACAAAATAGTTTAACGTAGCGTTAGTCTATCGTAGTTGGTCGCCATGTTTAATCCAATTCCGCCTAAGCCACCGGATCCAAATTGTTCTGACACTAACATTATTTCCTCTCCAGCTGCGTATATTGAAATTCAAAATGATTTATAAGGTTCATTTAACCCCTCAGTTGCCAGCTAAAATGATGACACCGCTCGCTCGCTTAGCGTGGCGCGGCGTCGCTAAAAATAACCTAACCTTGAATTTGTCGTACATTTATTTTTATAATTATTCTTGTTTCTGTTTATTTATTATTTTATATTACTTGTTTTAGTGCTTTTACTTCACTACAAATAGATTTAAAATGTATTATCATACTTAAAAATGTACATACCTGCACTTTGACTGCAGCTTGAATATCACAATTATTTCTATATATTACTCGAAATTATTTACGTAAAAAGATAAATTATATTCACACAAAAACTTTTATAACAATTTTATAATAAAACACTATACCACACACTAATAAAACATTAGAGAAATCCAAAAATCAACACAATAACACACTACACGAAATAGGCGTATGAAATGGACGTAGATTATAAATAAAAACCATAGACTAACTGCTTTTTATTGCATTAGAGTATAGGAAATTTCACATTGAGCCTATAATGCTGAACTTCTTCATAGAAAAGTAGTCTCTAAATATAAGTTTTTTAGGATAAAGTGCTGTGGGTGGGTGCGGTCTCACGAGACCTTTAGGGATTTGACGGAATATGGCCGCGGGCTCATGAGACCGCTAGGGGATTACGGACGTTCTTTACAGGCATTATTATGCAATCCTTTCTATAACATTTCCCGCAATCCTTTGATATTTGAAATTAAGAAACTTCTATTCTTATAGGTAACAATCCCAAAATATTAACATTTCTCTTGTTTGGATTCAGAGACATATTGGTATATTTGGTAATGAATATGCTGACAAACTTGGTAAACAAGCAAGTCTGTGGGGATACTTTGATATTTAAAAATTATTGCTATGACTTTATAAGGACTACGAAATTATTATATAGAGATAGATGGTCAAAACATTGGAACAAAACCAAAACGACAAAAGGCTGTCACTATGCCAAAATTCAACCCATCATTTCTTCTAAGCCTTGATTTTATAAATTATCCTTAAATAAGAAACATACATCAACGTTATGTAGAATGCGCTTAGGTCACTGCTGTAATTCGGTTCACCTTGCTAGGCTTCATATTAAAAATTCTTCAATATGTGAATGTGGTTTAGATATGGTGACCTCAACCGTATTTTCTTCTCGTGTCCTTTATATGATCATTCTTCATTATTTAACACTTTGGTAAATCTTAAAATTCCTCTACCTGCAGAAATTCGTTCTCTTATTATTTATTCTAAAAAAGTAAAAATGTTTTTAATTGCCTTATGGAATTTTTAGATTATAATATTAAGTTATAAAATTTTATTCATTATTTAGCATTCAATTGTCTTCATGTAGTATTATTTAATACTTCAAATGTGGAAATGAGATTGGTATTATTTAATTCGATGTATCATCACACCTACCATTATGATTTCTTAACTTGAGTAAACTTAAGTTAACTACTCACGTCTGATCTTAACTTAACTGACTTAAATTGAGTTCTTAACATTATGATTTCGGTTTTTAATCAGAATCACAGTTTTTCTTTATATTGTTCGTCGTTTCATTACAAGTATTTTTATTGACTGGAGGTTGGCAGCATGAAGTTATAGGTAAAGATGGAGGACACTTTGAACCATGGAGCTTAGAAAACAGGAGAACGATCGCTACGTACTAAAGCATAGGCCGCCGGTCCTTAAAGGAATTTGTAGAATTTATAGCAGCGCTGCCATCGGTGAGTAGTGACTGCAAAGTTAGCTGTTTATGAGTACAAGTAGATGAAGTTAGTTGAATAATGTACAAATTTTCTGAAAGAATATTCATGCTCCGTAATTTTTTTAATTTTTGACAAAAAAAAACATTAAAAAATGGAGAAATATTTTATTGTGCGTGGATGTGCAAGTGGTTTAGCATCTGATTGGAAAAATAGACTGAAAATTACATTTATTGAGCGACCTTAGCGATCGCAGTGCCTCACTTATGGTGTCCATATTTCTGGGACACTATTTTTTACGGCGATCGTTCTCCTGTTCTTTAACCTCCATGCTTGGAACAGCAGCTTGAGTCAAATACTTATGTATCTTTATCTCACTCTCTGTGAGATAAAGATACATAATATATTTCATACTCATCTTCTCTTTTTAGTGTGGAATGCAGTGTTGCTATGTTTTTATTTAAATCTCCTGGTAAAGTCTTTGAAATAGTTTCCACACTAACCAAATCAGAAGTTAAACTCTGTAAAATGATGTTCCAATAAATAAATGGTGGAACTATGATTATTTTCATTAAAAATTCCAAAATTGAAGGTTTCGTATTTATTATTGTGTTAAAGAATCAGTGAATTACAATCCCATTTCCTAAGGGTTCGGTAATGTGGCAACATTAGCCCTATATGTCAACCATGAAGTTTATGTAACTTCATGATGCCAACCATAGAGGTTAGAGAACCCGTGGTTTATACATAATAAAGTTGTTCAAAACGACTATAAATCAATAGCACGCTACAGACTATAAACTAGAAATTTTTAGCGCGCTATTAAATACGCTATGTTATAGCGCGCCATTTATAAAAAAGTGTGTATAAGGCCGGCAAGCGCGGTAAGTTTAACAGCACGCTAGTAGTTCGCATTTTAGATTAAAATAAAATAAAGTGGTAAAGAAAAACTAAAGAACGCTCTTTCATACTTTTCAGACTTTTTATAATCCTAAAAATATTTTTAAGGACTGTACTTTTTAAAACAAAATAAAATTAATAATTTTTAGTATAATTGATGTAAACGTTATTTTAACCTTACTATAAATTTGAAATCAAAAGTGTATTTAAAAGTTTATTAATTGTATACATGCAAACATACACTTTTGTATCTATATTTTATTTACATTTAAAAACATAAGTTAGGCTTCTTTTGTAGCAGACAACTATGTCCTTCGATCACTTATAAATATACAGTATACACTAACTAAATAACGTCTAACACTAAATTAGTTCGCGCGCGATGAATAGCGTGCTGCTAGATTAAATTTGCGTCACACGTCTACTCCTAACAGCGCTGCTGCTAGAAATAATTGCCGCTTGATATGAATAGCGCCAAAGCGTCATAGCGTCATAAAGCCATGGCGACTACTTACATAGCACGCGCTATGTGTTATGAAGAGATAGCGCGCTATAATGTGGCGCTATGCGCTATATTACCCACCATTAATACATATTTATGTATTAGTATCCTCTCTTAGTCTGTGCATTCTTTGACTAGTATATTTATTATCTGTGCTCTGCATATGTATTTGTATACAGTTAACTTCAGGCTCAGAAGGGCTAGAACCCAGAGACGTAAAGCCAGTTTAATAGAAAAAAATTGTATACAGCTGATTACCCTGTTTATTGTAAGTGGTTTGTAGTTTGTACAATTCTTGTAAGAATGATTTGTGAAAATTCTTTGCTATCACCGATTCAAAATGATACAAATTTACCGTTTTCAAACTCCACTATTTCAAACAAATCTCTTGAGTTGGAAAATGTCGATGATATGGAAAATGAAATCACAACGTTCGAAAAATTTGTTAATGTATTGCATCCAAAAAGTGTGGCTGATTATCTTCAATTAGCTTTGTTATTTCTTAAGAGTTCTCAAACATCCTTATCTTTGCCTAATGTTTCGAATTTAAAAAAGTTTTTTATTAAAATTGTGAACAACCCAAATAATCTTGGTTGTACAATGTTTGACGACATATCAAAACAAACTGCAATGGAAATAAAAGAAATATTACAAAATAACAAACAATTTTACCAATTTGTATATACTTATGAAAATGGAAATTGCAGTCAAAAGTAAGTACTATAAATTGTGTTATTAGGTAGTTATATTTAGTAAACTGGTAAATGTGCCATTACTTTTCCGTGACTTATATTATTAATCAATTCTTGCACAGATTGGGAATCAAATGTGATAAAACTGAATATGCTTAGTGTTGCCAGAACTTTTTGGCATACTAAGGGATAAGTAAAAGGTGTTAGTAGCCATAAATGCAACATTATTAATTACCTTGGAATAACTAGATTAACTAACCCTTAATATTGAAATAGCAGGGGCGGGAGTAAGAATGAGTACTCCCTATTGAAAGCCTTCCTCAAAAATGCATTTTTGTTTTTTGGAATTCCTGTTTAAACAAGTTTTGAGCTAATTTGCGGTCAAAAATACTTTTACCGGCCAAATCCTATTTAAGTATTAGAGTTTTTCCTAGGCTAAAGTAGTTTGTATTTATCCTGGCAATGGTGTACCACACCAGCCACACCTCAACCTTATGTTGCTGATCAAGTACATGTCTTTGATCTAGTTACAGTAGCTTGAAAAAAACTAATTAAGCTAAGAAAAAACTACTTTGTTCTTGAATTGATTGGCAATAAACAATTTGATTGATATTAAACACTTAATTATTTTATTAAATACTGCTCATAAATGATTTTCACTAATAGTTTTGGTCATATTTACTTTTGCCTTTTTTATTAAAGTCAAAATATCTTATTATCAATATTGTTTCAGTCAAAATTATTTTGACTAATGAAATTTAGGCAAAAGTAGTTTCGTTTTAATCAATCAAAATTTGGCTTTGACCAGAAAATAGCTTTAACTATAACATACATATTTTGTAACTAATATATACTAGTTATTATTTTAATTTGAATTGTAAATTATAGAAATAATGATATATTTTTTCTAACTTTATAAAACTTCAACACAACTTATTTAAACAAAACTCAACATGTTAAATGTGTATGCTTATATCAAATGAGGAGGAATATTGGAGAGATTGTAATGTTGTTCTTAATTTTCTCAGAAACTATGTGTTTCCAAGCAATGAAACTTTGTACATGTAATTTATAAAAGTAGATTGTTCAAACAGGAACAGTAGTCGTATGAAAGTGCTAACTTTGGGTAGTTAATCCAAAGGAAAGCTATTACCAGTCTTACACATTTGTTTTTATGAAGATGTTTTAAATACATACGTCACCAACATTAAGCCCTTTTTACTAGATACGAGACTTAAATTTTAATATGTCTATGGGCCACAGTATCCATTTACCATCAGGTGGACTTTGTATTTGTATGTCAACCTTATTCTATAAAAAATACAAGGAGCATAAACTTGTACGAAATGATTGAATGAAAGAAAAATTAATGTTACTGTGGCCTCTAGCAGGCCATTGAAGGGTTCTTAAGATCAAGGCTATCTTCACAAAACAATTGATTGGGCATAAAACAGTCATCAAACCTTAATAAAAAAATATTTTATTACTAATGAGTTTTTCTAAGGATAAATAATTCCTAATATTAATTACAATATTGATTTCACAAATTTTTCGGTTTTTATCATGTTTCATTTTGCCTGGCTTTTATTTTTTTTACCAAATAAATAATTGAAAAATATAATGATCTCTTATATTTACGCGAACACTACACATTGAAATAATACTAGTTTTTACGGAATTTATCGCGTATATTTACCTTGGCACCCATGGTCACGGGAAGGATCCTTCCCGTGACCATGGGTGCTGTAAAGCTCTCGAAACGTCGGGTATTAAAAAGTTAAATATACGCGATAAATTCCGTAAAAACTAGTATTATTTTAATTGAAAAATATTTATAAATATTGATATTATAAAAATATTCAAATTTAAAACGGAGGCTGGCTATACTTTTCAGGTAATTAACTATTCACTAGTATTTAATATTACTTGTTATATATTTTTGAAAAACTTTTTGCAGAGAGATGGTGTTGAAAAAAAAATATTACGAATGGTCAAGTAACTTGTTGGAACAAAGTTCACAGTAAGTTGTAAATAATATTATAGCTTTTTTAGTTTTTTGTTATTTTATTACAAATATGTAGGTAAATATATCAATAATAATTAAAAATAGTTATATAATAATATTGACATATTATATTCCATTATCCATTGGGTATGTTCCGAAATACAACGCAGTACACTGGCCAATGCAAATGACGTCGTAAATCGACGCCATATTGGTGATTCGTTGTATCGAATATGGTGGAATACGGAGTCAATTAATGACGTCATTTGCATTGGCCAGTGTACTGCGTTGTATTTCGGAACATACCCTATAAAAGTCCACTGCTGAACATAGGCCTCCTTTCTTCTTTCTCCTTTCTTTCCTTTATAGACTGCTATATGGGAGGGAATTTTGCCATAATTGATACGCTTGGTGACGGGGTTGTCAAGTGCAGTTATTTATTATTTTGCATTGTTATGAAGGATATGGTGCTGCCAATCACCTGTTTCAGTTTCCCTTTGTTGCCTCTTACGACACCCACGGGATGATATGGGGTAGTGGATATTCTTACACTGCCACTATGCAGAATCATAATTACATTGGTCGGCAAAAAAAAATTAAAATCCGGGAGCAAAAAGTTTACTATGTGATTTCTATTGGCTTTGATTTGTTGAGTCCAAATCTGTTTAAAGATTTCAACTATCATCTCTAGCTTTTCAGATATTTACATTTAAATAAAATATCGGTATTGATATATATATTAAATATGTATATATTTTAGAACGACGATTAAAATGAAATATGAATTAAAAATATAAAAAAAAAACATAAAAATGATAGCTATTTGGTAGATCGCTTTCTTTTATACATTTTAACTGCTGTTTCTCGATTTATTTTCCAGCAAAAATCAGTTGCATTGCTGGGGTCCACTTGTCGCTGTATCTTTTTTCCATATGTGCAATGTCTTGGTGGAATCTTTCACCATTCTCATCAGACACGGCACCAAGATTTTCTGGGAAAAAATCTAAATGCGAATGCAAGAAGTGAATTTTTAAAGACATATTGCATCCAAGTTGATGATACGACGAAAGCAGTTCTATCAGCTCTGTGTAATTTTCAGCCTTTTTATTGCCAATAAAATTGTGACATACATTTTTAAAAGCTACCCATGCTCTTCTTTCTTTGTCTACCAACTTTGATTTGAACAGTAGAACAGACTCAGAACACAACTAAATACATGTACATACCAACATTCACAAATACCGCTGCCTGCAACTACAATATGTAACGTAATTAACGCACACCCTCAGACACCCCAATTAGTATATTATGTTATAATCATAATACATACACTGAATTTTTAGTAAAACATTTTTATGCACTGATAATTTATCAAATTGCTTAAACTAATTACGGAAGAATGTTGTGGTCACAGTACAAATCCACGAACGCAAAGACTTTAACGTGCTTGAAATAAAGTTCATTTTTCTTTATTTTATTGAATGACAGAATTAGTAATAATACAAATAAAACTGCACTCCTAAAAGTCTTATTGCCTTAAGTTACGGTCCATTTCAGTTTGTTTTGACTGTACAGATTTAGTGTGACTGTAATTTACGTAGTTTTAATTATTTTTGGAATAAAAAAATTACCTATATTAAAAATGATAGGATTTGATTCAGTAAACGATTCTGAACAAACTACTTTCTCAAAGTGCGTTAATTATGTTACATGTTGTATAAGCAAACAATTCTAGTGCAAACAAAAAATGCTATTGCGTCGAAACTAGATGTGCTAGGTGAATTCTAACTACATATTTGGATTTAACGTAACTAACGTAATAACTTCCATATATACATTTTTTTGCTCTTATTTTGATGCCGACCAGTGTTATTAACATGTTATATTTTGTGTATGCCGTGTAGTGGCGGTTAAGAATATCCACTACCCCATATCTTCCCGTGGGTGTCGTAAGAGGCGACAGAGGGAGACAGGCAGGAGATGGGCAGCAGCGTCTTCCTGATGAAAACTGTGACGTAATAAAAAACTGCGGTTGCCAACCCGCTCGCCAAGCGTGGCAACTATGGCAAATACCCCCCAATGAATAAATACACAAACAGACGGCCCCCAGTCCCCGGCGGCCCCGCTATTCCTGGCTACGGTGGCGACCATGGTAACGGCGGGGCAGGGGGGTGCTAAGAATCTCCGGTGGAGGTTCGGTTGCGACCTACGACGACTCGACCTGGCAACATATAACGCACGCACCCTCAGGACTGACGAGAAGATACTGGAGCTGGAAGAAGAGGTAGACAAGTTGCGTTGGCATATTATTGGATTATCCGAGGTCCGAAGAGAGGGGGAGGACACGGCAATCCTCGAGTCCGGCAACTTGTTCTATCACCGGGAGGGCGACCATCTGTCCCAAGGAGGTGTCGGATTTATCGTCCACAAATCTCTCGTCAACAACGTTGTAAAGATTGGGAGTGTGTCGACGAGGGTCGCGTACCTGATACTCAGAATCACCAAACGGTATTCGCTGAAGGTCATTCAGGTTTACGCACCAACCTCGGCACATCCCGATGAGGAGGTGGAGGAAATGTATGAGGATATTTCCAGAGCCATACGTTCCTCCAAAACCTACTACACGGTGTTGATGGGAGACTTCAACGCAAAACTGGGCACAAGAGAAAGCGGTGAGCTGAAAGTAGGGAAATTTGGAGTAGGGCAACGGAACCGAAGGGGCCAGCAGCTGGCCGACTTTATGGAGAAAGAGGGACTCTTTATGATGAACTCTTTCTTCCAGAAGCGGCCCCACAGGAAGTGGACCTGGTCGAGCCCCGACGGTTCGACAAAAAATGAGATTGACTTCATTATGACGACCAGACGCCAACTGTTCAGTGATGTCTCAGTGATCGCAAGGGTGAAAACTGGCAGCGATCACCGAATGGTTAGAGACACACTGAACCTAAACGTTAAGTTGGAGAGGTCTCGTCTAATGAAGTCAACGCTCCGTCCCCCTCGTGCTCTAATCCAGAATCCCGAAACCTTTCAGCTCGAGTTACGTAACCGCTTCCAGTGCCTAGAAGATTGCAATGCAGTGGACGATATGAACGACAAGCTCGTGGAAACTGTCCATGCGGTCGGAGCTAAGTTCTGCAAGACCCGCCGCAGAAGAACACAAAAACTCTCCGATCACACTCTTAATCTCATGGCTGTTAGACGGGAGATGAGGCTGCAATCGTCAACAGATTTGACAGCATACAGGCAACTGAACAGACAGATCTCCAAATGCATACGGCGAGACTTACGCAACTTTAATACTTCTCGTATTAAAGAAGCGATCGAGCGGAACCAGGGCTCCAAAGTCTTTGCCAGAGATCTGTCTGCCAGAAAGAGCCAACTGTCAAGGCTGAAGACTGAGTGTGGCAACATCGTTTCCGGGACACCTGAGATTTTGAGTGAGATTGAGAGGTTCTATGGGCAGCTGTACACATCATCGTTGGAGCCACACGCAAGTGTGAGTAACGATCCAAGAGCAAGTCTTATCCGACACTATTCCGATGATATCCCGGACCTCAGTCTAAGCGAGATTAGAATGGCTCTCCAGCACCTTAAAAACGGCAGGGCCCCAGGCGAGGATGGAATTACAGCGGAGCTTCTGAAAGCGGGTGGAACACCGGTACTTGAAGTCCTTCAGAAGCTCTTCAATTCCGTCCTCCATGGTGGCACTACTCCAGAGGCGTGGAGCAGAAGTGCGGTGGTCTTGTTCTTTAAGAAAGGCGACAACGCTCTCTTAAAGAACTACAGACCGATTTCCCTTCTGAGCCGCGTCTACGTGCTGTTTTCGAGAGTCATTACGAATCGTCTCGCACGCAGACTTGACGACTTCCAGCCTCCCGAACAAGCCGGTTTCCGAAAAGGCTTCAGTACCATAGACCACATACATACCCTGCGGCAGATTGTACAGAAGACTGAAGAGTACAATCTGCCACTTTGCCTGGCGTATGTGGACTATGAGAAAGCCTTTGATTCCGTCGAAATTTGGGCGGTGCTACAGTCCCTTCAGCGGTGCCAAGTTGACTGTCGGTATATCGAAGTGCTTAAGTGTTTGTACAGTAGGGCTACGATGGCTATCCGAGTACAGAACCAGAGCTCGAAACCTATCCAACTGCAGAGAGGTGTAAGACAGGGTGACGTTATATCCCCGAAACTCTTCACCGCTGCATTGGAAGACGTTTTCAAGCTACTGGACTGGAAAGGATACGGTATTGACATCAATGGCGAGTACATCACTCACCTTCGATTTGCCGACGATATAGTCCTTATGGCAGAATCGCTGGAGGACTTAAGCACTATGCTCAATGACCTCAATAGTGCCTCCCAACGGATAGGTCTTAAGATGAACATGGACAAAACAAAGATCATGTTCAATGTCCATGTCACACCTATGCCGGTAGTTGTTGGGAGCACTATGCTCGAAGTTGTTGACGAATACGTTTACCTGGGACAAATAGTCCGACTAGGTAAGTCCAACTTCGACCGAGAGGTCAATCGACGGATTCAACTCGGCTGGGCAGCGTTCGGGAAATTACGGCATATCTTTTCGTCAGGTATACCTCAATCTCTAAAAACTAGATTGTACAACCAGTGCGTGTTGCCAGTGATGACTTACGGATCTGAGACGTGGTCCTTCACTGCTGGCCGTATGAGGACGCTTAAGGTCGCTCAGCGAGCTATGGAGAGGGCTATGCTCGGAGTTTCTCTGCGTGATAGACTCAGAAATGAGGATATCCGCAGTAAAACCAGAGTGACCGACATAGCCCAACGGATTAGTAAGCTGAAGTGGCAATGGGCCGGCCATATAGCTCGAAGAACCGATAACCGATGGGGAAGAAAGGTTCTCGAGTGGCAGCCTCGTACCGGTAGGCGTAGTGTAGGGCGACCCCCCACTAGATGGAGTGACGACCTGGTAAGACATGCAGGAAGTCGATGGATGCAGGTGGCTCAGGACCGTGCTTTGTGGCATTACTTGGGGGAGGCCTATGTTCAGCAGTGGACTTGTGAAGGGCTGTAATGATGATGATGATGATGATTTTGTGTAGTTTTGCTATTATAAAATGCTTAAAGCTCTATGCACATAATGTAATTTAGTTTTTTGTACTGTTTTCTAATGCGTGACTGTGTTACTGATACCTGATGGTAAGTGACTACTACTGCCCATTGCGGATACATTGCCGGCCAGATTGAGGCCTTTTATTGAAGGTCCCTAAGTTGCATCGGTTTGTAAGAATTGGCACAAATAAGTTGGAAACCGATTCCACAAATAAGTTGTTCAAGAAAGTAAACTTAATAAATCACACATTGGTGGACAAAAAATTCTAGTATTGCGAATTTTGTCGTGAGCATTGTTAAAATTTGGCGACTCTAAATAGTGAGAACAATTTCTTCAAGCACTTGTTGTGGTAGATGTGGTAGAATATGAAAAAGGATGCAATATCACTTCGCAGCGCCAGTTAGTCGTCGATCATAAAGAACTACATTATTGATATTTCAGGTTGATCTTTTCTAGGTGCGGTCAAGTGTAAGGAGCTGGTATTGAGGTGCCTCGTCTAATAAATGGCAACAGTATGCCATGTGAGGTCATTGCATGGGTCATACGGGCACAACACTTGCACCTTATAAAGGTGCAAGTGTTGTGTCCGCTTGAAATAATGTCCAACTCTACTGAATACTTATTAGACACCATTTGGCCTTCCACTTCAAGTGACTATGTAATGTCGTACTACTGGACTACTTAATGGACTGTAGACATTCAATTTGATTTGAGTAGTGTGGGTTTTGATAGGTTTGTTCATTTTAAACAACTTGTGTGGTGGAATGTTTAGTATTGCATCCATCGAATTCCTGCATGTCTTACCAGATCGTCACGCCACGCCACGGGCGTGCACCGGTGCCGGCTAGGAAACAAAATGGCTTGAGCCCGCTCAGTGAGTGGACTAAAATTAGGGGTACCTCTGGCAGCGACACGACGACGCGAACGCTTAGTTTAGTTTTTAAAAATTTATTGAGTTAATGAAAAAAAATTGAATATTTTTTAATATTCACCAGAAAATTTCAAATGTTGGAGAATGAAATTCTAAAGCAAATAGATGTTTGTACTTTTGAAATGCCATGCCCCTGTTTTTCAATAGATTGTTTTGAAAATTATATATAAGGTTTAGAGTTCATAAAACGAAATATTAAACTACTAAAAAAACAAGCAAAATAGGAACAATAAATACTGAGAGTTGAAAATTTGTAGAAATATACTGAGTGCCTTTTTTTTAGTGTTTTGTGTAAGTGGAATAGAAAATATCCTCTAAACTAAAGTATTTGTAAAATATAACAAAATATAACTGATAGGCAAAATTTCCGAATATAAAAAAAATACATGAAAACAATTCATCTTACGTAAAACTAAAAATAGGTGATATTATTTTAAATGTTTTTAAAAGTGTAGATACGTCGTACTCGCTCTAGAATGGCAATACGAAAGTCAGGTAATTACCCGACGCGCATTCAGTCGGGCACGCTCTCGCGTCGCGGCTCTACTTCGCTACAGCGCGTAAATATTCTAGTTATTCGTGGCAATAATGCCTTCCTGTGTTCTTAGGTGGTGCACAAATTACACGGCAACTGTCAGAGACACGAAAAACGTCTCATTTTATTCGTTTTCATTGCATAAAGATGTTTTGTTCGTAATTGGTTTTATTATTTCAACACTAACCGCTAGCTAACTAACTTTGACGCTAGCTAGTTTGTTCACTTTTCCTATTTTCCTCTGTATCGGTAAGTCACGCGCTCGTGCCGGTAGGCGTAGTGTAAGAAGACCCCCACTTGATGGAGTGACGACCTGGTAAGACATGCAGGAAGTTGATGGATGCAGGTGCCTCAGGATCGTGCTTTGTGGCATACGTTGGGGGAGGCCTATGTTCAGCAGTGGACTTGTGAAGGGCTGTAATGATGATTATGATGATGATGACAAAAATTATTGATATTTATTTTATTATTGACTAAAATTATATTTCATACCTTAAAATTTAATTTAGATTTAATTTTTATGATAGATAAACTTAAAGAGTTATATTATATGCTACCATTTTGAAATAATATAAATTGGCTAAAATTTCAGTGACAATCAAGATTCCATGGCCGAGGATAATTCATCAAAAAACCAAGAAGATGAAGAAAGGCATGAAAACTTAATTTCTAGTGACTTTAAGCATCATTGGTTGGCTACAACGCTAAGCTTCATTAAAGATAACAAATTAAGTACTCTGGAGTACCCTGAAATGCCTGAAGCTTGTACAGATTTTATAGAGTACATTATTAATAACAGTAATAATAAACATGACATAGATCTTCCTTTTAAGCCATTATATGCGTCTATTTGGGAAGCAATGACAATATTCAAACTGAAATATGACTTTTTGTTAAAATCAAATGTCAGAAGCAATAATACTGTGTAAGTTAAAATATGGAATTTCCTTAGTAAGCTTTAAAATGCATGTTGTTTTGAAATAAGGGAGCTTTTGGATTTTCCTAGAATGAACTGACTGTTTAAATCTAACACTTACACTAATGCTGCTTTATAAAGGTGTTCCAACACCTTTTACCTTGAACTTTTTGCTTTTTTAATCGCGTGATGCAATATTTGTACAAATAGAAAAAATCAGCAATGTGAACATCAACAAAATCTCATCAACATCAACAACATCTAACTTCTGTAATACATATAATTATTCATCGGCAGGATAGATATAAACATTATTTTTAATTTAGTAATTGCAGTAAATAATTACAGATTTTAAGATGACTTAGACTTATAAGTTTTCTATTTCTTTAAAGAGTATCTATTTTACTTGCGGCTTCGGATTATTGTTTCTCATTCTCATTGAAATTGATTTATTTGCTTTTCGAGACATGAGGGTGTAACACCACCGTCGAAATCGAACCCGGGACTTCTATATCTTAATTAGACCAACAAGGCAGTCAAATAGAGTCAGTTATAAATTGGATATGTAGGTAGGCGGTGGCGTACCCAGGTTCTTAGCATAGGTCAGTCCTACATTTTTCATTTTAAAAACTCCTTACCGTTTTGATTAATTCGTTTGTTATAGTCGACAGCTGAACATAGGCGCCCCCCATAGTTTTCCTCATAGGATGAGTTTTGCTACATTTGCCACGCTTGCCAGGATAATATTTTCAGTTGTTATCAGGAAGATGCTGCTGCCTATCTCGGCTCTTACTGCTGATGATGATGTGGGGTAGTGAATACTTTTATTCCGCCGCTACACGGTGCACTTACTGGCAACATTTTTAGTGAAATGCAATAAATTATCACTGCTCCCCCTAATTAAGGGTTTCTAATAGGGACGGGTCGATGTTGATAGATTGTGGTGGCCATGTTGCTTTGGTTATATCTGCCAAATCTATTGTTTACAATTTCATTATTGATGCCAAGTTATCATGGCACACACACAGGTTGGGTAACGCGACCAATTGATAAAACTTTATTTATATATTCATTAAAATAAAAAAGCTTATTCCTTTCAAAAAGGCCGGCAACACACCTGCAATTCCCCTGGTGTTGCGGTTGATCATAGGCGGCGGTAGTCACTTACCATCCGGTGAGCCGCATGCTCGTTTGTCCCCTCTTCTATAAATAATGAGTACTAGTTATTGCAAATGTTGCTGGCGTTACGTCCAGTGTAGACGCGGTAGCCCTTCAAAGTCTACTCTGCAATGTTTGGTAAACAAATTCGAAACGACCGGTTTGGTAAACAATCGGCCAACACCAGTACGACCATTGCGGCCGAGGACATCGCCGTTGTGCGTGAAAATGTGCAAGAAAACCCGAGGATGTTAATTACACGCCATGCACAAGAACTCGGCCTTTCGCAGACTTCAACTTGGCGGATTTTGCGTCGGGTAAAATTTCTTTACCTATCATTCAGAGTGAGCTCTAACGAAGGTATTTCTCAATGACCGCTTTTCTACAGCTGTAATTTTACTGTGATTCTTATTTCGCCATGCCCAAGTTTTATTACCATTCATTAAAATTGGGATTAACACAGCATTATGAATTGCCAATATACCATACATGTCTTTTTTGATACATCCTCACAAGATCTCCATTTAAACCGTGTCCTGCATACTATCTTCCTCAACAAATCTTCCTACATTAATATAGTATTTTTTATCCCAAAAATAATTAAAACTACGTAAATTACAGTCACACTAAATCTGTACAGTCAAAACAAACTGAAATGGACCGTAACTTAAGGCAATAAGACTTTTAAGTGTGCAGTTTTATTTGTATTATTACTAATTCTGTCATTCAATAAAAATAAAGAAAAAAAGAACTTTATTTCAAGCACGTTAAAGTCTTTGCGTTCGTGGATTTGTACTGTGACCACAACATTCTTCCGGAATTAGTGTAACTAATTTGATAAATAATCAGTGCATAAAAACGTTTAACTAAAATTCAGTGTATGTATTATGATTATAACATAATATACAAATTGGGGTGTCTGAGGGTGTGCGTTAATTACGTTACATATTGTATATCCGTAACATCTATCATTCCCTTAAACACACATTTTATATACACAAATTCATCCATTTGCTGAATTGAAAACCAACTTGTTCGTCTTTGTACGGGCAAATTGCACTTTTCTGATTCTAAACGGCACCAGTTATTTGGTATTATATTTGACTAACCGTGTAGTGGAGATGTAAGTATATCCACTACCCCACATTGTCCATCGTCGTCGGTATCGTAGAGGGAAATTGAAACAGGAGATGAGCAGCAGTATCCTAATAACAATTCAAAATAATAAAAAACTGCGGTTACCAACCCGTTTGGCAAGCGTGGCAACTGTGGCAAAATCCCCCATGAGGCAACCTATGTGAACGTAGAAAGAATAGATAGAAGAACACAGTAAACTTTTGTTGGCTGTAATTAAAATTGGAGGATGGATGGACGGAATGATTTTACTATTTTATACGTGGTAGAGCCATGCTGCAGTTATATTAGTAGTATAGTTGTAGCACGAATGGGTCGGCTCGACCGGGGAAGGACCACACTCACACAGAATACCACCGTAAAATAGTAGCTTAATGCTGCTGTGTTTCGTATGGTGAGTGTAGAGAACCGGAGACCCTTTTTCTGGAAACTCGGATCGTTTCTCACGGGTGACAACGCATCTGCATTTTGATTTGTAATCGAGGATAGATGTAGATGTATATGGGCCGCAGCAACCACTCAGGTGGACTGTGTGCTAGTTTGTTACCCTATCCTATAAAAAAAAACTATGTGCTATGTAGTTAGGCGAATAATCTCCAAATCTCGCAACATTTTTCTCACCTTAGTTTACTTACTTAACTAATATTTGTTTGATAATGTGTTGATTCCTAGAATTTCTAACAGCTCTGTTTCGTGTTTTATCGGGATTTTCTCTATTATTGCCGAACTTATTATAATAATTTATTTGCCGAAGAAACTAAGTCGACTATTATCAGGAATAATTACTTTTTCACACTTCCTTTTTCGTGCAGTAAAATGATAGCTATATATTGCTGAAATTAGTATATTTTATCACTTTAACAGTACTGGGCCTTTTTGGATAAATTTTGGAGGTTGGCATACATTTAATTACGATGTGTGAATGTTAGAACTGCCGTTTTTTTTTTGCGCCCGATGCAAATATGGGCAACCCCCCGGAAAGCGGGGGAGGGAGGTGGGGAATGCTCATAGCATACCACGCAGCCGGCTGCGTGGTTATGTGGAGACTTTTACCCACTAAACCCCACCTTTATGGATTGGCTTACCGATCTGACGAGAGATCCCTAAGCCGTATACAGACGCGACCCTCCTTGGCAGAAAGGAGGGCGCAAGCGGCGAAAAGCCGCTTAGAACTGTACCTAACTAAGGCAGATTAAGGTAATTGTGTTAATTAGGCTCGGCGTGAGCCGCCAGGAGGCAGTTCAGGTCAGTCGAAAGCTTGTTGGGGGGGATGGAACTGCCGTCTGCCGCAAAGAACCGTGTAGCCTCGCTTTGACTGACGTCTGAACCGCACTAACAGTCATAATACTATTTTTTGCGATAAATTAAAGTTATACTACACAAAATTTTATTGCTTTCATAAATTTTGTATGTCGTACTCAGGAATTATGTAATTCTTTTTCATTTTGCAGGCAACTGACTTTAGAAAAAAATCCAAGGAAACAGGATGGCATTACTAATAAAAAGTAAGTACTTACTAAATTCAATTTTTTTATTTAGATACCGAATTGTAACCGTAGTTTTCACATTGTCTTACGGATTGAGCCGCTAAAATGTAAATTTTTTTTTGCAAATAGATCAACAACAATAAAAAAAATATACATAACTAGCTTGCCAGGCAGACGTTGTTCTGCCTTTTGCGACGATCTTTTGTCATGTTCTATTAAAAATCCTTAAATTCGCAAAAAAAATTGTGGGTCACTTATGGGCAAAAAACTATCCTATCTCTCAAGTTGGACCAAACTGCACACGTTGTGCAAATTTGATTAAAATCGGTTGAGTAGCTTAGGATCCCGTCGCGGACAAACAACGTGACACGTAATTTATATATATTAAGATAAAGGTGACAAACGAGCGCACAGTCCACTTAATGATACGTGGATACTGCGGCCCATAGACATCTACATTTATCCTCAATTGGGAATCAACATGCAGATGCATTGTCACTCCTGAGGACTGAGATTGAATGCCTCGTTTCCAGAAAAAAGGGCCTCCGGTTCTCTACACTCACCATACGAAACATAGCAGCATTAAGCTGCTATTTGAGCGGTCTCAATTTCCACTGCTTGTATAATTATATAGATATATAATATAAAAATAATACATAAAAAACTTGCTCTCAAGTAAAATTTTAAATATCCTCACTCAATTGTATATACTATACTTCCTATATATATATATATATATATATATATATATATATATATATATATATATATATAATCGGAATCTCTGAAACGGCTCCAACGATTTTCATAAAATTTTGTGTCCAGGGAGTTTCGGGTACAATAATCGATCATCTAGCTAGGATTTATTTTTAGAAAATGTCTTCATGTCCGTGTTTTTAGGCAATGAAAAACTGCTACAATATCGTTAGAATAAGAAGGTAAATTTTGACAGTTTAATAATGATTATAAATAGCTTAATTGGTATATTGGGCGGTCATATAATCATTAATCAGCGTATTAACGAGCCCAGGCCGACCGACCGACTTTTTTTTAATTTTTTTTTCAAGTTCCTTTCTTTTTTGAGAAAATCTATTTTTTCGAGCCCTTTTTTTAGTATTTTTTTTAAAAACACAAAAATCTAAATTAAACTAATTGCACTCATGATTTTTTATTCAAATAACCAGTTCAGTTTTTTTCTATTATGTCGCTAAGACCAAAAAATGTTATTCGTATTTCATCAGTATGTAATTTGTATCTAAATATAATTTCCAAAACACACGAATTAAAAAATACCGAGCAAAGCTCGGTCAACCAGGTACTATTAAGCAATTCAACCCACCCATGTCTTATTTCTAAACGAAACACCTTAATACCATTGTAGCCTATAAAAGTCCTCTGTTGAACGTAGGCCTCATGGTGAGGATTTCGCCATAGTTGCCACGCTCGACAGGCGGGTTGGCAACTGTTTTTTTTTTCAATTTGGGTGTATTAGGATGATGCTGCTGTACATCTACTTTATTTGTTTAGTTTTCCTCCGTCGATATGGAGGACGATATGGGGTTTTGGAAATACTTACACCGCCACTACACTGTTTTGAACACAAATTATCACACTAATAAAAACAATCTCCTTTTTACTAAGGGAATTAATTTAAAAAGGTTAAGCGATGTGTCTATCGCTGTGCCCAGATGAAATTAATGATATCTACAATAACACTCAATTAAATTGGTACTAAAATAAGATAAGTTATTTTGTGTTTGAAGCAAAGTTCCAAATCTGTTCTGTTGATCTGTGCTCTAAGTTATTATGATCGCTCCAGGGTTGGAAAAATTTCTTACGTAATAAATTTAGTGTCTTACATTTTTACTGTTTAGTGTGTATTATATGTATTATAATAGGCTATTAACTTTTCGTATTTATGTATAGTCCAGAAGTTAACAAAGACACACCAAATAAATCCGCAAAACATCTCAAGGAAAGGAAGAAAATGTTAAAGAAGAAAACTGCAGTTATTGATGCCGTGCCGATAGATTTCGTAATGGATTCCTTAAAACGGATTGTGGAGTTCCTTGAAGACGAATTCAGTGCCAGTATTGTATTCAAAAATGTGACATCAAAAGAATGGAAATTTCTCTTGAATGTTAAACCCATGGTCAGAAATAGGCATATTTTGATAACCGAAATATCTCCAGCTATAATTGACCTATTGAAACGAATTAATACAGCTAACCTAAACGCATTCAGTTTGGTTTTAAGTGACAACAAATTTAATAAGAACAAAAAGGAAAGGTAAGTGAGTGATAATTATATACGCTAATAGTACTGACCGTGCTAAAAATAAAAATGTCTTCCACGTCACGCTATTCACGGCGGCCAGTCTCAGCGGAGACTAACCATATACGCAGGACGGAAATACAGTGCACGAGTGTATGCGCACTCTTATAGTCAAAAGGGGAGTCAATCCGATACTACCGGAAAGAGATCGGTCGTAAGATCAATGGCTTTGCGTTCTTTACGAGGCACGGGGGTGAAACCAAAGATTTAAATAGTTAGATGCGCCTTCACCTTGAAAACTGGCATTATTTTCGGATGTGTTCATTTGCGAGACGCTGACGCGCGCACACTATTGCAATATTGTCATCTCTTATTATCTTACATAAATTGATACTACTTTCTCTGTCGCACTCTCACTCACTCATTTGAGAATGGACACATTTCGGAGTGGTCATACTATGGTAAGGGCGCATCTAACTATTTAAATCTTTGGGTGAAACACATCAACTTCTTGATTCCGGGCTGCTACTGAGAATTTCTTGTCAGAAAAAAATTTACCATTTAGGATTAGCTTAATCTGAACCGGGCCACTAATATTTTTTTATTTAATTTATTATCTGATTTACACTATCAGTGTATCAGATCTACTCAATAACTGTCTCAGCGGATTTAGGCCCGACCCGGGACTAATACCCGATAAACATAATAGGTAGTCGCACTTACTACAAGACAATCAAACGTGCTAAATGTAACACTTATTTAACATACCTGTAACATAGATTACCATTTTTTTAATCATACGTTTTTATAAAGATTGACTGCTCGTTCAACTGCTGATCATGTCAAGCATATAGCATATTTTCTCTTACCATTCTTTTGTCTTTTTGTAGTGATCCTGTTGATTGCAGGACTAAACTGGCGATAGATTGATAGCGGACAATCTATCCAGATTTATTGAAGTAAAATCCCACTTATTATCATAGCGTATACCAGTGTAGCAGCGTTACCATCGTGAGGGTCTACGCTCATTAATCCTTTCTTGCCGAGCGTGGTCTTGAGAAAGTCTTCCAAATGATTTATTATAGCTAGTAAATTTTGGTATTTCTCATATTTACGCGAACACTACACATTTAAATAAAACTAGTTTTACATAATGATTTCTTATATTTACGCGAACACTACAAATTTAAATAAAACTAGTTTTACATAATGATTTCTTATATTTACGCGAATACTACACATTGATTAAAACTACTTTTACGGATTTTATCGCGTTGAATGTTTTTTAATTCCCGATGTCAACGTTAATCTGGAGTACCTTCAGCTTTTTAATGTTTGTTTATGGTTCAATCTATGCAGAATGAACTTATTCGGTCTTGAAGTCTTGCAGTGATACGCTTGCGTTTAGTTTTAATTTTATTAATTACAGGGTCCCAAGCTGGTGGTAGTACCCAGCCTCCTTCTCTATTGAAATTTGGGTGTTTTTAGGGTTCCGTAGTCAACTAGGAACCCTTATAGTTTCACCATGTCCGTCTGTCCGTCTGTCCGTCCTCGCTTAATCTCTGTGACCGTTAGCACTAGAAAGCTGAAATTTGGTACCAATATGTGTATCAATCAAGCCGACAAAGTGTTAAAATAAAAATTGGAAAAAAATGTTTTATTAGGGTAGCCCTCCTATATGTAAAGTGGGAAGTGATTTTTTTTTAATTTCATCCCTAACGTGTGATATATTGTTGGAAAGGTATTTAAAAATGAATAGGGGTTTACTAAAATCATTTTTTTGATAATGTCAATAATTTCGGAAATAATCGCTCCAAAAGTAAAAAACAATGTGTGTCCCCCCTCTAACTTTTGAACCATAAGTTTAGAAAATATGAAAAAAATATGAAAAGTAGAACTTTATAAGGACTTTCTAGGAAAATCATTTTGAACTTGTATGGAAACAATAGTACCTACTACCGGGAGCAGTTGCAGGAGCGCGGAGCGCTGCTGGAGTGTGAACATAATGGATACCCACCTTTAAACTCATAAGTGGGAACACTTATTGTGACGGACGGGAAACTACGGAACCCTACACTGAGCGTGGCCCGACACGCTCTTGGCCGGTTTTTTATTTTCAATAGCCTCACGTATCATCCTTGGTAGGAATCGATGTTCTTTCGCGAGGATTTGTGATCTATCAAATCTGATGTAATGGTTAGGGCGGCCTAGTATATGCTCATAAACTGCAGACTTCCCGGAACGTTGATGCTTCACGTCAGGTGTATGTTCTTTTACGCGGGTTTTAATTGATCGTTTTGTTTGCCCTATGTATGAGAGACCACATTCACAATCAAGCTTGTGCACCCTTTAGAGGAATATGACACTTGACAGATGGTGAGAACTGACTAATCTTCTTCGGCGGCTTGTAGAATGTTTTAATAGAAGCTCGCTTCAAGATGTAGCGAATCTTGTCTGTGACACTTCTGACATAATATGGTAGTACAGCAGGCACCGCTCGAAAACTAGTTTTTACGGATTATAACGAGTATATTAATTTATTTTATATTCCCGACGAATCGAACACTACAGCACCCGTGGTCACAGGGGGGTATTCGACGACGTCCCAATGTCATTGTTAACCAAAACTAGTTTTATTTAAAATAGCACATTTTTTAAGGCAAATGCCTAGCGTTAGACAGAAAAAGACAGTTGCTCTGATGAGAATTTAATATTATGATTATCCAATATTGTTTTATTTTATTATTGCTTTATTTTTCTTTTCAGAAATGTTACACTGGAGAAGACACCCAAATATAAAACGCAAACGTCTCCAAACAATAGGTAAGCGTGATTTTTTTAATAATATTATAAATATTTAGATTGTATGAATAAAACGGATTTTATCGCGTTTGATTTTAACCTAATAATTCCCGATGTTCCTGGGTACTTTAAAGCACCCATGTTCACGGGGGCACTGAGGTGCTCCGCCTTCTGATGTCATAGTTAACGTAGGCTTTTTTACATCGTAGAGCCTTGCTGCAGATATAGTTGTAGCACGAATAGGTCGGCTCGACTGGGATGGGACCACGCCCTCACGGAATTGCAGCGTAATGCTGTTTTTGTATGGTTAGTGTAGAGAATCGGAGACACTTATTACTAGAATCGAGGTATTTCCTTGCATTTTGATCCTTAATTGAGGATAAATGTGGATGTCTATGGGCCACATCATCCACTTACCGTCATGTGAACTGTGTGCTCGTTTGTCACCTAATGTTATAAAAAAGGCTACCTTCAACTTTTAATTATTAATTTATGACCTGATCTACACAGAACGAGCTAAGTATATTGAATCAGTATCTTATCAGTCAATACTGATGACTCCGTGGCGCAGTGGCTTAGCAATGAGTGTCTGCGCTGGGCGTCGCGGGTTCGAATCCCGCACGGAACAACTATTTGTATGGCCTACAAATAGTTGTTTCGGGTCTGGGTGTTTGTCCTTGTGCAATTTATGTTTGTAAACTTCCCCCACGATACAGGAGAAAATCTTAGTGTAGGGGTAACGTTTTAAAAAAAAAAATCTTAGTCTTGCAGATGTATGCTTGGGTTAGAATTTAATTTTATTAATTATGAGAAACCAAGCAGATGGACGCACCCAGCCATTTTTTCTATTGAAATAAGGGTATTTCTTAATTTTGAGACGTATGCGGGAGTAGTTGAAGTTGTCCAACATATTTTTGTGGAATGTGTCCGAAATGAAGCCATTAGAATGTTATGTTTTGGTAGTGATAGGAATTTTCACATTGGCACCTTGAACAGAATTTTGATATTTTTTCAGCACACAATTAAATCGCTCAATTTCTCGGTATTCGCCCCAAGAGCGCAACGAACAGCCGGCGTTTGATGACAATAGTCCTGGTAATAAATTACTAAAGGCACTCACTACATCCTCGAAAAATGATGATTGCACAAGGTAATTTAATAATGGCAACATTCTACTCCGTTGTTAATTTATAATTGAGTTTATGAATAATATCCAAAGAGCAAATAAAAGGCCAACAGATATATAATTAAATTCCTTTTATACAAACTAAAATTCATATAAAGCTTATTATAGTAATATTTATCTTCATCATATTGGCAGAACTTGCAAAAATTATCAAATAAAAATATGAATATGGTCTTCCACATCCTACAGCATTATGCAAACTCCTCGTCTCTGAGAGCTTAATGCCATTTGAGATTTTAATGTCTCGAGGATGCTGCAAAAAGTGAAATATACTAACAAGTATAGTGTTGTCAAAACAACATGACAGTAAGCACATTTTTGTATATGATCCAATAGTGGGCACTTTTTAGGACAGATAAGTAACATATTCATATTCTATAATTTAAGTTGTATGGTTGTCTCTTTCACGATTTCAGTGTTTCGTCTATGGAGATGAAGTCACAAAGTACTTCGAGTGTAAACGATATTGGTTTAAATTCGCCGTCCCTGAAATCACGTCACACAAGCATCGAGCGAAGGTATTTTGGTTAACATTATGTATGTTTATTTTTATTAAACCATTTTAGAAATATATTCAAATATACGCTAATGATTTTTATGATAACATGCATAATCAGAAGATATTTTGTGACTTTTAAGAAGAAGATGTTTGGTAACATCTGTTGTTAAAATTTTTGTTAAAGACTTGGTTCTTTAAGAAATAAGATTAAGAACTGAATATAATTGACAATTGAATACCTAATTTGTACAAAAATATTTTAATTTTTTGATGTAACCTCGAAATAGCTCTGTATTTCTACTCTACATAATTACTATTTGTTTTCCAAAGTTTCTATGTTGCCACGTCTAAGACGATAAAAAAGTAATTAAAGCATTCAAAGACTGCTGAATTATTATAATAAATGATTTCTATAATATAGGGACACAATTTTGAAATTCCGTAATAAAATCGTCATACTATTGTAGCGGCGCTGTCGTTTCGCCACAAGCGAAACACATCGAAGCCTAAATTGCACCATCAAAGTTCCGAATCAAAAACAGTATATATATAGAATAGCTCCGAACTATCACACGGACAACACCGGGCAGAACACCTTGCCCGGCGTGAGATCTTCCCTTCTCCTTCCACCGCCAAACTGTTGATCCCGACGTGATTTGAACATGCAACCAATAACCTTCGGAAACTTTAACTTCAAGCTTCATCATCGTCATAAAATACCCCACCCATTCGCTCCCGAGCAGATATCGTCTGCAGTCTTGACATCCTGTAAGCCCTATCTAGCTTCACAAGCTTCATCACAGCACTGAAATAATAATGTTCTTCCTGCTCCTTCAAGCTACTCTCTGCGCTATACAGTGTTCGGCACGGCTCTGAGCCATACTGTTCGCCTCTGCTTCACGGCACTCTCGCAGATTACTTGCCTTCTTCTCGACTCACTGCAGACTACAAGGCAATCCTCTGGCACTTGCACATTCGTCGACAACTAGACTGCAATATCGACTTCCGGTCTGAGCGGGGGGGTGATGTGGTGGCGCTGTCCTCGCGCCACAAGCGAAATACATTTAAGCCTAAATCGTACTATCAAAGTTCCGAATCAAAAACAGTATATATAGAATGGCTCCGGAACACATTGCCCGGCGTGAGATCTCCCCTTTTCCTTCCACCGCCAAACTATAAAGGGTAATTTCGTACCATTGCAAGGACCATTGAAGGCTTATTTTGCTTTTCTTATAGTCGATTCTGATATTCGATAACTTAATTACAGAAAAATAAGTCAAAAGCCGATTATAAATTTTCAAAGCGCTGGAAGTGTTGATCTAACCAGTGATGAGAATATTACTCCGACTAAAGAAAACTGGCGTAGTAGTAACGAGTCAGTAAAGCGAGGAAGGAGTCACGAGAGGCGGCACGGTCGAATGAAGAATAAACTTTTGGAGGCCATGTCCGTGCCCCTGGAGAGTGATATCGGATTAAGGTGAGCATTATCCTTTAGCACAATATTTAAACTACAATCTCTATACAGGATTATTTTTCAAAGAGTAGCCAAATTTTAAACTTAAGTTCAAATGTATAAATAGAGATATACCGTCATTATGGTTTTTGAAAATACGACTAAATTAGGCTTCTATTTTTATTAGAAATTATTCCAAATTGAATGTGATTTATGGGCAACAACGTTTTTGCCTATCGATCAACCCTTACGAATGTAAAATTACGTGCGCAGTAAAATCAGTTAAAATAATGCACTGCCACGTATTTAAATTTAACCTCTTAACCCCCTAGCGGTCTCATGAGGTCGCACCCACCCACAGCATTTTAACCCATATACTTATATATAGAGACTACTTTTCTATGAAGAAGTTTGGCATTATATAATCAATATGAAATACTCTATCCTCTAGTGCAATAAAAAAACTGTTATCCTATTAATATTTATTTACAATCTACGTTTATTTCGTACGCCATTTTCGTGTGAATGTTATTGTGTTGATTTTTGGAATTTTCTAGTGTTTTATTAGTGTTTTAGTATAGCGTTTTATTATAAAATTGTAATGAAAGTTTTTGTGTGAATATAATTTATCTTTTTACGTAAATAATTTCGAGTAATATGTATTGAAATAATTGTGATTTTCACGCTGTCGACATTCGCTTGGTATGTTTTTTTTTTTGTTATCAAAATACAATAAAATCTTTGTAATGAAGTAAAACCTGACTTTTGTTTAGACCACAAGATAGAACATTTTGTATAGATTTTATAGTACTAAACTTCTTCATAGAAAAGTAGTCTCTAAATATGTTTTAATGGTTTTAAGTGCTGTGGGTGTGTGCGGTCGCATGCGACCGCTTGGGATTTGCCGGGCGCATGCGACTGCATGGGATTTTTATGTCGCTTGAAGGGTCAAAAGATAAAAAGGACAGAATGTTTAAGCTTCTTTTTAATTAATTTTTCTTCACGATTTGCCTAATTAAAATATTACTTATTCTGAACGTTTTCTGCAAATTTGGCCGGTTATTGCAAAATAACCCTGTAGGTATATATATAATTAATTGTTGTCCGTTAGTCTCGCAAAAACTCGAAAATGGCTCGACCGATTTTGATTTAAAAAATTGTCTGTTTGAGTTTGTCCCTGAAATATCTAAGCGATTTACAATTGGACCTGGTAGGTGAAGCTGTTATCGAGACCCAGAAATCACCCGTGCAAAACCGGGTCGGATCGCTAGTAATGCAAAAAATACAGTACTAAAGTCTACTCTAAAATGCAAAACAAACTGCCTTTATTTTATTAAATAATTTACAGTATTGCAAAGAAGGTAATACTCGAACTCGTGTTGAACTCGCCTATTATTTAAGTATACTTTATTTGCAAAACAATTTGCTGCGAAATTTTGTGCGGTGTATGTATAATGTCATAGAATCTTTTCGGTGTATTATAAGAAGACTAAGTAAGTATTGTTGCGCGCCTAAGTTAACGTCTGGTGCCTGGCACTGGCGCCATCTAATGTCGGGGACCAGTGCGAGGAGGGCTTCCTAGAAAATGTCAATCTTGACCTTTCAACCAACAGCGCCATCTAGTATCGAACAGAAGAATTAAGCTTTCTAGAAGCCCCACACTCGAACTATCTGCGTCTGGTCGGTCGGCGGCCGTATTTACTGGAATATTCTGGATGTTTCGGCGTAAAAGGTGTATTTAAAGCCGCTGCAAGACGCGATCGGGGCAGTATTGAATTGGCGATACGAGCGAAGCTTTCGGAGTGAAATAAAGTGAACTAAAGTGTTAAGTGTGATTAATTATTAGCGTGATTTATGTTTTGATTGGTTTTCAGTAATTAAAGTGTCAATTTTGGTAATTCAATCGGCAGTTTTTATTATACAAGAACCCTAAGCTCGTAACAGTATGTACTCGGATTAATACATTATAGTGATCGTTTGTGAATTAACGACGCAGCGTACGAGGTTTACAAGTTGCCAGCGTCTCTCATTATTCTTTATATATTCTACGCGAACAGTGTCATGAAGACAGCTTTAAAAAATAATGTTTTTAAAAGCCATAATTTCGTTATTTTTTTACAGAATGATGCGCTCGATGGGTTGGGACGGCGGAGCTCTAGGCACAAGAGGCGAAGGCATTGTGGAGCCTATTATACCGGACTTGGGTATTGTAGGTTATTTTTGATTTATAAAAGAATTTAAACAGTTAGTATGTAAAAAGACAAAAATCAAATCAAATCAATCACTATTTGAATAAAAAAATGTCAGTTTTCGAAATTTACCGCTAATTATTAATGACAATAAAGTCAAAGTAAGAGTTCTTGCCAATTAAAATCAATATACAGGATTTTGGAGGATGGGTGCAAAGCCTGAAGGGGACTGGTACCTTAACCCATTTAGAATATATTAAGCAAAACTTGTCTTAGACGAAGTCTACTCCTTTTTTTTTAATTTGAATTTCTAAGGTTTTTAACAATAAAACCTAATTTTTTTTTCATATCATTGCTAATGTTGTCCACTTACAGTTGTATTGTTATTTTTTAATGTAATATGTGAATACTCATACAAAATATTTTTCAAGCATCTTCATCATCAGAAAAGCATTCTACACATATTTAAGTTTAATAAACCAAAAAAAGCAAAATGTTTATGCTATCATAAAAAAATTAGCCTTTGTTGTTCACCTTTCTAAAAACATACTTAGTTTTTGCCCTTTTCTTTTGAGGTATCATTTACGCAGATGTCTTATCAACTCTTGGAATTAGGGTGTACAAAGCAAATTGCGGACGAATATTTTTAATTTTTAACAGAATAATGCACCATTTTTGCTAATGCGCTTTGTTTTCGTTAGAACTTATTAGTTTTTAGAATGACGGAGCACGTGCACGAATTAACTTCCGGGAGCTTGAAGAACGAGCTTACAGTATCTTGAAGTTTTGCAGTAGTGCGCTTGGGTTTGGATTAAATTTTATTAATTATAGGTTCCCAAGCAGATGGTAGCATCCATCCATGTTCTTTATTGAAATTAGGATGTTTTTAATATCAATAGCTTCGCGACCGTAGGTGCTGTAGAGCACCCGAAACATCGGGAGTTAATAAAGTCTGTTAAATTAGTTTCATTTAATAACATGTGTCAATAACCAATGTTTATTGGTCCATGTTAGGATTGAAGTCTTTTTATTGTTTGAAAAATTACTTTCTAAATCTACTACAACAAAACACTATAATACATACATAATAGGGAGTGGGCGGAGCCCGTGTAGCCACTAACATGTCAATTCACACGTATAACTGTCAACACGAGATGTGTTTTGACGTTACAATCGTTTCCAAATTTCGCATGCAAATTATTTAGAAAATGCCAAATTGCACACTATTTACAAATGAATATGTATTAAAATTAAAACGATTTTTAATGATGATCTTGAACATTAATCAAAAGTCTAAAATGTTTAAATTTACTCAGTCTGTCATCACAGCGAATCGGGTTTGTAGTAGTGATAATACGACTTAATTGCTTATGTGTGCTCCCAGCGACGCCGACCCTCGTACAAAATATGGTTGACAGCCATTCTATTGTGTATTATAGTATTCTATGTCTACTACCGTTTCAAAATGCACAAAGAGTCGATCTTTCGAAGAAGACAGCCAAAAAATCCCACAAGTATCTGCCATCATCCCTATTTATAAATATTATAAAAAAATTAACAAAATAATTAAACCGCCAAAAATAACCGCTGACTCAAAATTACTTAGGTATATTAGTTTAAGAACTTAGTTATTAAGGTTAAATAAAAACTCAAAATAATTACAAAAATATATACTCAGATACATTTAGATTAGTTTAAGAACTTAGTTATTAAGGTAAAAGAAAAGGGTATATTATTTTTTGCTTTTCAGTTTTTTCGGCGGTTTAATTTTTTTGTTAAAAAGTTTTTATTTTATAGTTTTTTGTGGCTATAATCTACTAATTACTACATGCTTAATTTTTGATCACTTTTAAAATTACTATATAAATACTTAGCTTACTTTAGCTATTATAGTTAACCAAATCTAAGAAATACCTTTTGACGTTTCACATTAATCATTCCTCAATAACTTTGCACAAGCGTACTCACACGATTTAAAATAACCTTTTACGTAAATCCAAAGAATTATGAAGTTATCAATATTTCATTACAACGTGTATAGTTTTTTTATCACTAATTTAAATTTGAATCTTTCAAACAAAGCAAAATATTAAAAAATAACCAGTATCAACTTTTTTACTTGACGTCGCGTCGTTTCAATGATATGTCGCTATGTATATTACCGTAGTGTTTGGATGATTTAAATTCATTGTTATGCGAATAATCGGCAAAATATTCAAATAATCGGTAAAAATATTCAAATAATCAAATCATTAGTTTTTTTAATGCATTATTTTCAAAATTCCTTAAATTACGTGAATCATGAATAAAATAAGTTTATTTTTTTACGTTGTCAAAGTAAATTTGTGTAGGCAAAAAACTCATATAGAAGGCAGTGTTAAATTAACCACTAAATAATTTCAATATGCCGCCATTTCTTTGCGAACCAGTGGTAAATGAAAAAAGTGACTTTCAATAAGTATTATTCATTATCTATAATGAATAAAAAAGTTTCTGTTTCGAGAGCTTACTGAGCGTAATTTTGTAATTTTGTGTTCGTCTTCTTATTTTATGACTGGGCTTTAACTTTTTGGACTGTTTCTTCTATATTCGTTGAAGCATGTGCCCATGTCATAAAGAAAAACCAAAAAAAATTGATTATGAACGACTGAAAGAGACATTAATTTTGACTGCATTATTGAAAATTAAATAATAATTAATCTAAACAACGACATCTCTACTAGTTGTACTGAAAGTAATTGAATAAATTTATTTTTAATTTAGTTTTAATCTTAAATTCTTATAACTGTGCCTCTAGAAATAATCAGTAACAACAAATACGAAGAAACTTATAAATCTTGTGTTTTAAATTATCCGTTTTTAATTTATTCTGGTATTATTCAAACCAAAATGTAAATGATTACAAACTCTAATCAATATCGATTTTTTTAAGAATCGAATATTGCACGTTCTCATTTTTTGGTTGGCATGCTTGGTGCAATAAGTCTGACAGCTGTCAAAATGTATTTCTTCTTAGATTTAGTTGACTATAACTGTTATATAATCCTACTTTAACTATTATTAGTTTAAAGCTGTAATCAACATCGGAAAGAAAGTGTTTGCCAAAGGGCAGGCATATGTGGCACTGAGTAGAGTAAAAACGCTGGAGGGTATTGCTTTATCTGATCTAAAGCCGAATAAGGTATTACATAAACCTCACGATGAACGAGCTTTAGCAGAAATGCAGAGACTGAGAAATCTACACACAAGAGACTGATAGGTCTAAAGCTCATTCATCGTGAGGTTTTTTCGGTAATGTAATGTTATTATTATGTAATGTTGTAATACACGACTCAGCATTAAAATCTGTGAGTAAACAATAAATCACCCCTATTTTCCCACCCTTAGCGTAATTTTTTTTTTCAAATTTATATGAGACCAATTTCGAGGTATATATACCCATCCAATAAAAAAAGAATTATCAAAATCTGACTACTCTGTAAAAAGTTATGCCTGGTCATACCATAAAAAAATATACGCGTCGACTTGAGTACCTCCTCCGTTTTTTCGTCGGTTGAAAATAGACCAAAGGATGTTTTTATTCTAAATCGAATCCAATGTAGTAAGCCAGCTTTACTTTATTGCTAAGCCATTCAAGATTTTGGTAATAAGTTCAAGTGTATCTGTAATGGTGCATCTAAATCTTAATTGATTAGTACTATTAGCATAGCGAAACCATAATATAATGAATACATAAGATTTTGATTACCCCCTTCATTAACTTTTAATTAATTTCTAGAAGAATAGTTGAAGATAGAGTAGAAGTAGGATAAATTGCATGTAGTTCAGCCTTCGATATTGATAAATAATTTTATAACCAAAAATGATGTAATTTTTAGATCACTGGAGCAGGTTTGGGTCATAGTGCCGTACCGAAACGTTGCGCGGAAAGTCTCAAAAGAAAAAAGAAAATTTCAAGAACAAATTCAATTAGTCGGAGTGAAGGCGACGAAAATGAAAAAACTGTAAGTAACAAGTGATCATTGATTGCACTATCATTCGTAAATAAACAATAATCTACTGCAGTAGACTTCTTTTCTGCCTCTAGTTCTTTTAGGTATTTACTAATCTCTCATTATTATTTCTACTACTAAGCAAAACTTTCCTATAATTTTAATTTTATAATAAAACACTATACTAAACACTAATAAAACATTGAAAATTGGAAAAAAGCAAAAATCAACAAAATAACACGCCACACGAAATAGGCGTACGAAATGAACGTAAATTATAAATTTTTTATTGCATAACAGGATAGGAAATTTCACATTGAGCCTATAATGCCAAACTTCTTCATAGAAAAGTAGTCTCTAAAGATAAGTTTTTATGGGTTAAAGTGCTGTGGGTGGGTAGTAGTAGATAGAGTAGTAGGGTTTTGACGGAATATTGCCGCGGTCGCATGAGGCCGCTCGGAGTGTGAGAGGTTAATACTAAGAAAGATTAAAGGTCAATTGATTTTCTTCAGTAACTATGTAGCGGCAGTGTAATAATATCCACTACCACTTTATAACACGTGGGTGTTGTAAGAAGTGGTGGTGGAAAACAAACTAGGAGATGGGCAGCAAGCAGCATCTTTTCAATAAAAATAAGTAAACAAGAACAAAAAAACCGCAGTTGCCAAAGCACTTGCTAGGCGTGGCAACTAACAAATATACCTCCTACGAAGCGATCACTGGGGGGGGGGGGGCTATGTTCAGGAGTGTAATTTTGATAGCCTGTAACGGATTATCTCCACATCTTTATGACAGCGCCTACCCTCACACATTTCATACAACAGTTAAGAAATTTCATGAACTGGGCCGCAGTGTCACCCTAACTCTTACGTGGTGGAGCCATGCTGCAATTATATTAGTAGTATAGTTGTAGCACTAATGGGCCGGCTCGACCGGGGAAGGACCACGCTCTCACAGAATACCAGCGTCAAATAGTGGATAATGCTGCTGTGTTTCGTATGGTGAGTGTAGAGAACCGGAGACCCATTTTACTGGAAATGAGGCATTCCACCTAAGTCCTGTCCACGGATGACAACGCATCTGCATTTTGATTCGTAATCGAGGATAGATGTAGATGCTATGGCCACACAACTTAATCAGTGCTGTGCTTGCCCCAAAAAAAAAAAAACTGTAAAGTAAATACTTAACTCTTTAAATTAGATAACTGACAGTTTGTTTTTTAAAGAACTTCATTTTGGATTGACCAAAAAGTGGATTGAGACAACATCATCATTATTCTATGTTTTGTAATTATAATAATGTCAAAGACTCACTGCCCGCGGTGCAATAAAAGAGGAAACACTTATGGACCTTACGGCAAGCCTGCCGTATTCATTGCCATAGTCTTATAAGAGAAAATGCTGTGATATATATAAGGAAAAGTACTACCACCACAAACTATATATATATATATATATATATATATATATATATATATATATATATATATATATATATATATATATATATATAGTCAGAACGACGCAGTCATATATATATATATATATATATGTATATGACTGCGTCGTTCTGGGTTCGAATCCCGGGTCGGGCCAAAAATTATTGAGTTTTTTTCGTCAAGAAATTCTCGGTAGCTGTCCGGAGTCAGGAAGTTGGCGGTGTCTCACCCCCGTGCCTCGGAAAGCAAGCAAAGCCGTTGGTCCTGTGCTATCCCGGTTCGTTTAAATCTCTCGAATTATGAGAGTGAGGGAGTTTCGCGAACGCTCGATATCCACATGAGCTATTACGATCGTTAACTCAGTGTCAAAATTTACCTTCTTATATTGTAGCAGTTTTTCATTGCCTGAAAACACGGACAAAACGACATTTTCTAAAAATGAATCCTAGCTAGATCGATTTATTGCCCCCGAAACCCCCTGGACACTAAATTTTATGAAAATCGTTGGAGCCGTTTCCGAGATTCCGATTATATATATATATATATATCGTTTAAATATATATATTTTACTCTTATTTATATATATATATATATATATATATATATATCTGTGTTGATATAACCATCGAATCCGCGTCAAAGATGCGGAACGTTTGGTACTGGTGGTAAGTAGAGTAGCCTTTAGACTTCCTCATTTTTTTTCTAAACTGGACCCTGATCTCGGATTCGGGTTAAAAGAGTAAGAAACCCACTGTAATTACAGGACGCAAGGCAATTTATTTACTTTCCCAAGGATGTGCCCAATGAATATCAATTAACATCATATGAATAGTGAGCTTGTTCATCACTTAAATATTATTAAATCTGAAATTCTTATAACTATAACATTCATCTGGGGGCATCATTATTTAAATTCTGGTAGTTTATTTCACAACATATTCTCCCGCCTCAATCAATCTCAATGGTTAAAGAATGCTAAACAACGTTATACAACATATTAAAAAGTTTACATCGGTGTGGGATAAAACTGCAGTGTAAGAGCACAATCACATATTGGGTGCGTTTGGCAGAAAAAAGCGCTAGCAAGCGCTTGTAAGCAAAATGGCGGTCGTAAGCGGTAAGCGCTGTCAAATCGTAAGCAGCTATTTTCCTCCAGGACACGATGTTAGTTTTAACCGGGGAACCTAACCTAATTTAAATATATGTTTGTAAAGTATTCATATTAAAAACTTACCAATCATGAATTTTTAATAACGTATATGTCTATTTATGTTACTTAAAACTAACATTGCACAAAACAACTTCTAATTTCTACTTCAAAACAAACAAATTAAATGAGCAAAATGGCGGATTGTGTCAGCGCTACTGAAGTAGCAATCGTATCCTTGCCGAAAACTATTTTAACGCTTGTAAGCGCTTGCTTGCGCTTTTTTCTGCCAAACGCACCCATTGAATTGACATTCAGATGAATGTTTATTAATTTAAAAAAAATAACTTGATTCATTCCTTATGTGTTTTTGTCGCAGGCTACTGAAGAAGACTTGGTGCAGTTAACTGAATCGAAATACGAAAAAAACAAAATTGTCAAAACTCGTTTGAAAATTTTTGGAGAAATCTTAGAACTTCTTTGCTCGGATGTTATGAATAAAACGGTTGTTTTTGAGAAAAAACTACATAAAAACGAAAAGAAATTTTTAAAGCCTGCCATTAGAAGTTTTAATAATAGAAGTAAGATATCTTTTACGATTAAAGAAGAATGTGATTTGATAGATAAAATTCAAAATGAAATGCTGTCAAACCGTGCAGTGGTAATTGAAGCTAATTTTTCGAAGGCTGGAAGGTATGGCCTCTACTCCTTTGCACTTACTCTTTTATACGTACATATTTTGATTTTCGCAATTATTTTTTTAAAAATTGCGTCATATTGACGCTGATTTAATTAACATTCATATATTATGTGCATGCATTCCATGAATTAAGTATTATCAACAGTATTTTGTATGTTTACATCGCTGTTCTTAAAAAATCTTGACACATTAGGCAATTAATACTATTTATTGGACAAAATTCGTTGCTGAGGTACAATAATTAGAAACAATTGTATTAATTTCTTTTGCAGGGAACTTCTTCTATCAAAAACAATTAATAAAATAGATCTACAAATCCCAATTATGAAAAGATTAGAAAAGAGAACGAAATATATTAGTGATAATGACACACAAAACTATTCCCAGACAGACAGTGCTCCGAGAATGAAAATATTATCAGTTGACAAATTTATGTCATCAATGGATTCTATGGAATCCTATGGAGTATATAATGAAAAATCATTCAAAGCGTTATCTTGCAGACTCATGATGTTAGAAGAAATTTTGGAATTCATAGAGAAAGATGAATCAGAAAAAGCCTATTACATAGATAATCATACAATTAATTATTTGAAATTCGTGAAAAAATTTATTACAAGTATCAACGCAAGAAAAAAAGATAAGCAAATTACGGCGATTGAAGATTCAGTCGCCGAACAGATTTTAAATAGTTTAGGAAACTCTTATCTCGTTTTTGAATGTGATAGACGTTTAAAGTAAGTAGATTTCAATCTTTTAATTCGATATTATGAATTAATAAAAATACTGTCTAAAGTAAAAGTAAACACAGGCCTCCTCTCATTTCTGAGAGGGTTAGGTAAGAGCCGTGGTAGCTCAGATGGTTACCACTCGCTGTAAATATAACAGAACGCGAGTAACCCGGGTTCGATCCCCGCCGGCACCAATGAAATTGTTAATTGCAGTTTTAAGTGCTGATTTACCACGTGCTCGGCGGTGAAGGAAAACATCGTGAGGAAACCTGCATATCTGAAGAATAAGAAATAAAAAGAAAATATTTCCAAGACATGTGAAGTTCCCCAACAAGCATTGGGGCAGCGCGGCGGACACTTCCTTGCCCTCTATCTATCTATATCTCTATATCTAATCTATTTTCATTGTCAGTTGATCTCTAAGGTGGTAATATTATAATATACATACATGCCCGTAGATGTTTGATCTCGCATTACAATATTATTTTATGATGAATCGTATAATGATAATATCGTAATCAAAACGATAAATTAAATCACGACTTTACCTTACAAAGATTTCTTATAGCATTACTCTTTAATTCTTTTTTACAATCATGCGCACACCCACTGTTGCCAGTTCTTGTAAAATGCAATCTACCCTCGAAATCGCGCGTCTTCAGAAAGTACCAAATATTTGTACCAAGGGTAAATAACAAAAGATTTTATGTTTCATTTATTATAGTTAGATTAATAGGTACTTAGTTAATATCAGTTATCTCCTTTTCATTTTTTGAATGTTCCTACAAGTCAGACTGGATATTTTATATAAAAATAAATATATACACGCTAAACAACTGGCAAACAGTTTGCCAAGAATAAAATTCGAATAAATTATAAAAATATATATAAATAAACACCTTTATAAAATACACTAAGAACCAGGTAGGAGCGAGAATCCCGGTTCCGAACATCTTAGGATCGGTTTCTTATATTTACGCGAACACTACACATTGAAATAATACTAGTTTTTACGGAATTTATCGCGTATATTTAACTTTTTAAATACCCGATGTTTCGAACGCTTTACAGCACTCATGTTCACGGGCGGGACTGAGATGTTCAACGTCCATATGTCATAGTTAACCGCGGTTACCATAGATCGGAACAAAAGTTAAATTTTAATCTATGGTAACCGCGGTTAATTATGACATATGGACGTTGAACATCTCAGTCCCGCCCGTGACCATGAGTGCTGTAAAGCGTTCGAAACGTCGTGTATTTAAAAAGTTAAATATACGCGATAAATTCCGTAAAAACTAGTATTATTTCAATCTTAGGATCGGGTATAAAAAAGAGGAACTAGATCTGGTTCTACAAGCGCTACTTGTAATGCGTTTCTGCTTTTTGAAAATGCGTTTTGTTCTTCAGTTTTAATCTTACTTAAACAACAGACAAAGGGAATTGAAACAAAAGATGGGCAGCGGAATCTTTATAATAATAACTCAAAATAATAAAAAACAGTAACTACAAACAATAACACACCTGACGAGCGTGGCAACTGTGGCAAATATCACCCCATGCGATAATCTATGGGCACAGTAAATATGTAGCTAGAGTGGTACCTGAAATAGCGCCTTTTTTGAGACAATTACCTACACTCCATTGGAGCGTTAGCACAGTTTAAAGACCTTACAGTTGGGAAACGAATGTGCCGACATTTTTTTTATAGGAGAGGGGGCAAATGAGCATACGGCTCACCTGATGGTAAGTAATTACCGCCGCACATGAACAACTGCAACATCAGGGAAATTGCTGATGCGTTGCATGTATACTTTTAAAAAGGAGTACGCTCTTTTCTTGAAGGTCCCTAAGTCATATCGGTCCGAAAAAATCTCTGGTGGTAGTTGATTTCATAAGGAAGTTGTGCGAGGAAGAAAACTTCTTTTAAATCGCACGGTGGTGAACCGCCAGTCATCCAGATGGTATGGATGATATCGTGAGTTTTGTCGCGATGTGCGATGGTGAAATTGTGCGGCTGGAATTAGTCCGAACAATTCCTCAGAGCACTACCCGTGGTAAATGCGATAAAATACGCAATGACATGCAACATCTCTTTGCAATGCTAGTGAGTCAAGCCGATCGGAAAGAGCTCGGTCACCGACGATTAGAACAGCTCTGCGCTGGATGCGATCAAATGGAAGGAGCTTGCACTGGGGAGCCCCAGCCCAGAGATGGGAACAGTATTCCATGTACGGTCGAACCTGCGCCTTTTAAAGTTGCAGGTGGTGTGCTGGCATGAAATACTGTCCTGTTCTGCTGAATATGCCAAGGTTTTTAGAGGCTTATTGGCCTTCTCTTCCAAGTGACCACAAAACTGCACGTCACTCGATATGTCGACGCCGAGAATTCCGATACTGGCTGAGGCAACAAGGGGAGTGTCTTGAAACTGAGGAGATACGACGAAGGGGTTATTTTTAGCGGTAAACTCGCAAACTTGTGTCTTCTGGGGATTGAACTGGACTAGATTTTGTCGCCCCCAGTCCGAGACCTTGTGCTATCGCACTTCACTGAGTTTAATAGACAATACAAATGCGGTTGTACTTATTTAACTAACATTAAGTGTTTCGAAAAATGAAATATCTAGAATGGTGAATTACTGTTATGGATATAAAAGTAAGGCTGAGTAAAATTGATTTCAATTTTGTTGTTAAAACTGTTTATACGAATGCGAATACATTACATAATTAAATATTTGGCAGTGTAACGCTTGTAAATGTGTTTTTTTTTTGTGGTAATAAAAAATGCTCGTGTTCAATAAAAGTTTTTTACTTATAAGTATGTACATAATGTGAATAAATGATAATGAGTATTATAATATCCTAAATCATTTTATTTCCATTTTCGTGACAACCTCTAGCATACACGCTGCTGCATAAATACCAACGCGGGCGACGGCATCGCCGGACGTCAAAGGCGTTTCAAAACTGTAAGGTCTTAAAACTGTGGCGTTAGGACTGTCATTCTTATATTTAGGAAAGTTTTCTATTTTTTATAACAATGATTTGGGTCCCATGATATTTAAGTAATCAAATAAAAATAATACGTATCGATAGAATAATATATATTGGCGGCAAATTTTGAATTCTAACAACGGATTCGTATTCCGAGACGACGCTGATCCGCGGGTACCAACTTTGAAAGAAATCGGTTTATTAAATAAAAGGTTCTAAATAAAGGTTAATAAATACTAAACTTTCAATTCTGTCAACGGATACGTGATCAGAGACGATCAGTGTCGACGATCAATGTTCATATATCGATTTTGAAATTGGAAAATGGACATGTCATTTTTAAAAGATCGGGAATAATGAGCTAAAAGTTACCTCACTATATACAGGGAAACGTAAAATGTTAACCGATAGATAATTCATTGATTAATATTGTTACACATAATAATTTAAAACTGAAAAGCGAAACCCGCTACTGACTGCCTTGTATAACTCGTTTAGAGGTCTTATAACGGCGCGTGTTGATTCGGACGTTTATATGAGTAATTGAGTTACTGCTTTAGCTAAGTATATAATATACTAATTGATACCCGCTCGCTTCGCTGGGCGCACGATATTTTTTGCGGAATCTAGATGTAAAATATCAAGATTTTTTTTTGATGAGACTCGTTAAACCCGTTCTTAGTGAGCGTTTTGTCTTTCTGGAGCAGAAAAAAAATTTATTTAGATCATTAATTTATAATGTTACATATGTATGAGATAGATATTTAGGGTGGTAAAACATACAAAAACGCGAGCGTTTTAGAGAAGAATTAATGCGTAATTAGTTAATACATCTGAATATAGAATATCTGTGTCCGTATTAATTTAATTTATTTCTTTACAGGCAAATGAAATTAAAAAAAGTGGTTTATGAAAATAAATTAATGAATTCGTCCAAATCTGAACCTACTTTGTTAAATGAATTTGATCATACAACCAGTGATTTAGCAAGCACAAATAAAAATGAAGAAGTGGAAGCATCACAATCTAAAAATGTAGTCCAGCATGATATTTATGAAAGAGTGGCCTGCATATTTCAGGATATGAACACCAAAGATGTAAAAAAAGATGACTTAAATGAAAGGGAGCTTTCAAATAAAGACGTAGAAATGATTGATCTAACATCAGACAATATAAGCGTAACTAGTTCTGAAAATCACTTGTCAGTAGAATCTGACGAAGTTCCAAAACATATAAAAGAATTAGAAAATCCTATTTTGAAAGCGGAAGTGGATGTGTGTACATCTAAGAGGTAAATTAAAGATAATACTACATATATTAATCAAACGGAACCACCAATAAGTAAACGAATTCGTACTGAATCTGAAAAATCCGAAGAAGAGAATGCAAAAAAAATAAAAATAACCTTGGTCAAAAGTTTTAAAGATGTTTCTATACTATCTAATAACAAAGAGGAAAAAATGAGTTTGAATTTGGTTAAAACTGTTCAAAATCTGATATCGGATTCTATAGATACTTCCAAAGATTTCTTACCATTGTTACAGTGTCACGGACTTATTGATGATCGCTTAGTATACAGTTGCTATAATGAAAACACTTACTCATGGCTAAGAAATGTAATAAATGATAAATTTTTAATTATAGATAATGCCTTTTGTATATTAGAAGATAGGCACAAATTACAAATGAAACTAAAAACCGTTATTGATAATGATAACGTTGAAACCATATTAAATAGATTGAAATTGTATAATTCTGGCTTAGATACGAGTACCTGGACAGTGACTAATAAAATGGTATGTAATGATTCTACAGTGGTAGATTTAGTAGTAGACGACAATGCATTCCACTTCATAAGTCAGTCAAATTTTTCGCTATTTGCTGGAGTGGATAAAGCCAAATTCAGCGTCCTTTGGTATTAAGTGCTTTTCATAATGTAGATTACATTGTTGAATCATGCTAATTAAGTTCTTACGAACTTTAGTTAAATTAGTTAGAAAATATATGTAAACAGGTTTTGCTATTCTTATTTTAGTTCAATTAACTGAAATATGTATATTGAAATGTGTGAATTATGTAAATGAAATATGTAAATTAAAGTCAATGATCACAAGCTAGGCTAGTGTTTTCTGTTATGAGTGGAAAGTTTTTCTACCTATGTTTTTTACTCATTGATAGATGCAATGGATCGAATCCCAAATTGAATACTTGTATTTTTTTTCTTTGTGTTAGAGTATATGTATGGTACTCAATTGAAAATTATTTTTAATGCAAGAAATTTAACCTGGTAGAGCCACGTTGCAGCTATTTTATGGTTGTAGTACGAATTGGTCGGTTACACCAGGTAGAGACCACGCTCTCACAGAATACCAGCGTAAAATAGCAGCCTAATGCTGCTGTATTTCGTATGGTGAGTGTAAAGAACCGGATACCCTTTTTACTGGAATCGAGGTATTCCATCATAGTCCTCAGGGGTGACAACACATCTGTATTAGTAGTAGCTTGTCTAGTTTCAGATCTAATACTTTATTGTTTACAATGTATTTTAGCGCTATTGCTTGGCGGTGAGACGCTGCACTAGCCGTGTAGCACCAACTATGGCGATCGCATTACTATTCAGCACCGCGCTATCGCTGCGCTTATATATTTAAACTTTATATTTTTCAAAACAAATAAAATAGGAAACTACGTCTAAGAAACTAAATATATTTCGGAGACATGTGTAGAAGCTTTTTGACCATCACACCTCAGAGCGACAAGCTCTTGCTCTCACACCAAAATATCTGGAAGAGAGTCCTTAAAAGTAGGATGTTTTTAGCCATTACTTTTACATATCTGAATATTTCTTTTTGGGGAACAGAATCTTGTAACCATAATCTGTTTGGATACAAAAATTAGACTTAAGAAAATATTTTATAGTGAAGTTTCTTAAATTTCTCTCTATAATTAGCAGGTACGTCAGTAGTACAAAAACGATTTCTTTATTGTGATAGTAAAATTAGGGATAAGTATTACATAATTTGTAACATGTTCAAAACCCTGTTATTATTTTTTTTGTCTCTGTAAATAAAGTAGAACTTTATTATTAAAACTGTTTTATTTTATTCGAAATGTTCAACTTTAAAATAAAAACTATTCAAATTTAAATCTTAAAATTAGCTTGTTGATAGAAGAAATTTCAAGTTTAAATAATTTATTGGCATAAAAATTATAATGGATCTTTGCACTCAATGAGTTAGCTAGATTGTTCGATTTTTAGCTATACTAGGCGGCCCGACTTGTTGCTACGAGCGCGGCAGTCCTCGAGATTGATTGTTCTATCATCCAAGTATTTTCGTTCATTTATCATGAACCTTTTAACCGCCAGACAGTCAAACCGGTAACTAAACAACGTGACGAGAAAATAACTACATTATGAGCTACATAAACTTATCTTCCATCTACGAATAATTAGCACAAAAACGCTTTGAGATGGCAGCACTTTAAACAATCCTGGACAATATACCTTTTTGGTAACACAAATTACTAACTAGTTCGTTTGTCAGTCAGCACTTATAAAAATAGCTTGGTAAAAAATCTACTAAATTGTACTACTGATAAATTTGGTCGTAAGCAGAACTATGATTGCCCAGGTCTTAGAGCAACACGCGCCACCGCATAGACGTATATATATATATATATATATATATATATATATATATATATATATATATATACATATATATAATAAAAACCTGTGTATACCGTTAACTGCGTTATCAGAATCAGTATCCAAGCATATAGAAATTTTTTTTTCAAAAAAAAAATATAAAAATTATTAAATAATTAATAAAAATTATTTCTATACGCTTAGATACTGATTCTCATAACACACTTAACGGAAACCACAGGGTTTTTATTACATATTGTAAAAAAATATATAAAAAAATATATATATATATATATATATATATATATATATATATATATATATATATATTAGAGATGGCCAAAATTCGGTTCAGATGCCGAAATTCGGTACAAGAAAAATAATACCTACTTGCACTTATTTTAACTGAAATATAAGGTGCTTCTAAATTACAATATGCCTTGGCTGCAACTCGTGGTTCTACTCATGATACTGAACCACTTTCCCCAAGGAACCCATAGTCAATTCTCAAAAAACAATTGCACTTTGTATGGAAATCGGTCAGCTGATTGGCGAATTCTCCATACAAACAACCGTGGCATATATTTTAGAAGCACCTTATATAACAACACTAGATACTGTAAAATAAAAGATATTATTTTTACTCACTCATGGTCAATTGTTTAATTATTTATTTAGGAACATTGTAAATGTTATTATAATTAAAGGGTATTTTTTTCAACAATCATATTAAACCAACTTTTCTTATCTATCTATTCATATTTAAAATTTACTAGAGGCAGGTTTTGGTGCAAAAACACCAAAGACTCTGTCTTATCTGGCAGAAGTTTGTTACGTTTTTTTTTTCGTATATGTTTCCTGCCTCCGAAAAAAGTCACTCAGAATATACAGAGCTTCCGGGACACGATAAGTATATTCGAGCCAAACAACTCATATTAGGGAACTTGTCTTTATTCTTAGCCCATCAGCCATATGGACATAGGTCTTTGAGTAGAAGAACTTCACTGAGATATCTGTCTAGCTCTGACGCAATCGTACTTTTGGTTTCTTCTACATCTATCGGTAACTTTACTGCTGCTAGTTCCTGGTAGCAGCTCCAGAACGTTCTGTGTGTATTTTCACAATTGGATGATGACGTGGATCTCTGTGCTACCTTAACAACTTCTTCATCACTACTTGACCCAATATCCTCGCTCCTTCTTACAAATTCCGCCAGGAAAGTTCGTCTGATCATTGGTACATTATCTGGTGTAAAAAAATTCATTTTGTAGCGTGGATCTAGTATTGTTGCTAGACTATATTACTTGTCATCTTTAATCCCCTGAAAACGTCTATCCAGTCCTTCTTTTAGTGACGAACGCATTGTGTTTATATTAGAACAAGCCACTTTAACTTCTTCTTTGATCAAATACTTCGAAAGAATCGTCAAGTTAGGAATGACCTATGATATAATTAAAGAACTAATTAAAGAAGTTGGGGGTTTCACAAAAAGAACCGAAACAGCTGAATGTCTTGAAAATTAAACCAACAGTAAAGGAATCACTTGACGAAATCAATAAATTATTTTACCAGTATTGGCAACAGTATAGCTAATAATACATTCAAGACCATAAATACTACAGAAGTTGAATTAGCTTCCAAAATCTTCACAAAAAGTGCTCCACTAAACTTATTTGTGCCTTATCAAGTTGATCCGTTGGAAGTAGTAAGTGTCATTAAGGACCTCAGGCAATCTAGTGCAACTGGCTGGGACGACATACCTTGTAGGGTACTGAAAGACAGTTGTCATGTTCTGGCGGAACCTATGATGCATTTGTGTAACCTGAGCTTTAATACAGGTACCTTCCCTAATACATTCAAAAGAACAATAGTTACACCGTTATACAAATCAGGTGACAAAAGACTTCCCACCAACTATAGGCCCATTTCATTGTTGACTTCCTTATCTAAGGTTATGGAAGAAATTGTAAACAAAAGAATCTTAAGATATCTGGGACAACATAAATTTATATCCAATAACCAATTTGGATTTCGATGCGGACCATCTACGGATGATGCCATTCAAAATCTTACATCACAAATAGTCAATCATCTGAATGCGGGTGATAAATGCCTTGGCGTATTTTTGGATCTACAAAAAGCATTCGATACAGTGTCTATTCCCATCCTACTGGCACGTATGGAAGGCTTTGGTATAAGAGGTACCCCGCTAATGTGGTTTAAAGACTATCTGAGTGAAAGAAAACAAAACGTACGACTTTATAACTTACTAAGTGACAGCGCATCCTGTACATATGGTATTCCACAAGGAAGTACACTGGGCCCCACAATGTTTGTGATCTACATTAATGACCTGTGTAATACAGTAGTAAATGGTGCAACAATTCAGATGTTTGCAGATGATACTGTACTTCTATTTCGGGAACGGACCTGGAACTCAGTATACAAGTTAGCTGAAGAAGGTTTAAAAACGTCCATGGCTGGAAGACAACCTACTATCATTAAATACGTCTAAAACAAAGTTCTTAAGCTTTAGCATTACAAATGCTTGCAAGCCGAGTGTAAATTAAAAATTAGTGATACATAAATTTCCTTGTAACAGGTTTCCAACCATCATACCTGAATGTAACTGTCCGCACTTATGCG